ACATTGCAGATGAGGCTCCCAATGTTGACGTGTGCCAGGGCCTTTGCAAACAAGCCAGGCCAAAAAGGTTCAACATTTACACTGGCTGCTTTAATGAGGACTTTGATCTTATCCTCCGTGATAGTCACCTCATCATCGTGCAGAATGAGGGCTGAAGTGATGCAGGTGAGCGCTGAGACAGAGGCCACGGTGGGGCGAGTGTGGGGCTGATGCTGCTAGACACGGTGCTAGTCGCAGGATAAAGTGAGGGCCTCACCCCAATGCAGCCTTAGCTTCCTCAGGAGGACAGAGCATGTTGGCAGCAGCTGAGGAAAGGGGCCTACATATCTTTTTTTCCATCAAAGTACTGCCATACCTGAGGTTCCCTTCCTCCTAGCTGTACTTGCATATTTATTTGTGTGTTTTTGCCATACTATATCATCAGAAGCTTTGTCATTATTTTGCATGACTTCAATGTGAGCAAAGGCAATCTTATCTATTGATGAATCAAACATTTTTGCAACACTTGGTACTGTGTTAAAAGTTTACAAACATTACTTCAATTAATTCTTATAATACCACCAAGAATAGATACTATTATTCTCCATTGCAAAGATGACAAAAATGAGAATAAAGAGGCTAAGGAACTTGCCCAAGGTCACTCTGAAAGAGTATACCAATGTAGGGCCAGGCACGACGGCTCACGCCTGTAATCCCAGCACTCTGGGAGGCCAAGGCAGGTAGATCAGAAGTTCAAGACCAGACTGGCCAACATGGTGAAACCCCATCTCTACTGAAAATACAAATACTTGCCGGGCATGGTGGCGGGTGCCTGTAATCCCAGCTACCCAGGAGGCTGAAGCAGGGAATTGCTTGAAGCCAGGAGGCAAAGGTTGCAGTGAGCCAAGATCACGCCACTGCACTCCATCCTGGGCGACAGAGCGAGACTCCATCTCAAAAACAAACAAACAAGCAAACCATTTAGGACAAAATTTGAGAGATTCCCATGTAGTAACACAGGGTGTGGAGGGAGAATCATTCTGAGCCACACATCTGGCATAGAAACAAATGTTTCTGCCCTGAAGTACTCTTTTTCTTGTTATAACTCTAGTTATAACACTTTCACCTGTAACGACTATTTTAATTATTGGTTTCTTTACTGATATTTGGTGCAGAAGGGAGATAAGCAAAACTTCCCATAAATTATTTAGTACACTACATTAAGAGTCATTTTCCAAACTACAAATTAGGTTTTGCCCCTTGTTGCGTTCCACTTATGGCCCAGGATTTCCAGTAATCAACAGAAATTCAGTGATGCACAGGTCTGTTGAGAACAGTTGGTAATGAGCTGTCCCTCCATGTGCTGGAGTGTGTGGTCCACCCCTCAGGACGCAGGAGTGAATTCATTTTAACGGAGCTGATGAAATAAGACAGTGCCTGAAATACATTTCTGGTCTGGAGCTCACTGGTATAAAGCGAGTTTAGAGAAGGAAGGATCTGATGATGTTCCTCTCTCTCTCTTTTTTTTTTTTTAAAAAAAGATGGGGTTTCACCATGATGGCCAGGCTGGTCTTGAACTCCTGACCTCAGGTGATCCACCCACCTCGGCCTCCCAAAGTGCTAGGATTACAGGCGTGAGCCACCGCGCCCGGCCGACTTTCTTCTCTCTGAGGAACTTCCTACCCCTTCCAGGTAGATGAGTATGGCAAAGAAAGTTACTTTATCAGTTCTTGTTTCTCAGCATGGAGACAATTTCCGCCTCTCTCATCTGCTCTTTGATCATCTGGCCGTGTACAGATTCTGGAGAGTGTAACATTATTAGAAACGCTCATAATACCTTCCAACTCAGCTCTCATTTAAGCTGAAAATATCTAAAAGGCCTTTGCATGGCTTATACAAATAGTGTCAAGTTGTGTCTTTGAACAGCATTCATTGTATCTTTTTTAGAGTAAACTTTTTATTGTAGAGTACTTTTAGACTTACAGGCAGGTCATGAAGGTTGACAGGCAGAGTGCCTGTAAGCCGCACACCCAGTTTCCCCTGTTGTTACCGTCTAGCTTCAGCATAGTACATGTGTCATAATTTATGAATTAATACCGATACATTATTAACTAAAGTCATGATTTTGTTCAGATTTCTTTGTTTTTACCTAATGGCCTTTTTCTTTTCCTGGATCCTGTTGGAAGTTTGCAGAGGTAGAAATAAGTTTGTAGGTTTTAAGGGAAGTGTATACCAAGTCAGTCTTCTTAGCCTGTAGCCATGCAGAAACTTGTCCGAGATCCCCAGTGTGGAAATGAATGGTTGCTTCCAGAATGTGCCTTCTTCCCTTCATATCAGTGGCTGAGGGTCGGTGGCACCATTGCTATGAGGCCCCCTTTCTACAGTCAGGGGTCTCTGGGGTTCAGGTAGCTGATCCCACCCATTCCTGCTCCTGGCCTGGAAGTGGGAGGCAGGCAGTGCTAGGCTCCACTGGCCCTGGACTTCCCAGTTTTGACAGACCGCTGTGCTTTTCTTCATATATTTACCTTCTCCCTCCCTTCAGAGAAAGAGCCTGATTGCTCTAAGGCAGTGGGTCTCAAACCCTAGTGGCCGTTAGAGACCTGGCCAGCTTGTTAAAACACAAATTGCTAAACCTTACCCCTAGAGTTTCTGATTCAGTAGGTCTCGGATGGGGCCTGATAATTTGCATTTCTGATAGTTCCCAGGAGCTGCTTCTGCTGGTCTGAGACCACATTTTGAGAACCACCATTCCAAGCCAGTCAGTTTATGGCATTACCCTGGTAACTGTTAGTGGTCTAAGGGTGGGCGGGTGACCTGCACTGGCCAAATCCGTGGTTGAAAACTCTGGTTGTATCCTAGAATCACTTGGGAGCTTCCGAAAAACAACTCACAGCTGGGCCCCACCCCAGTTTAATAAATTAATATTTTAGAAGATAAAGCCTTAGGTATCTGCAGTTTAAAAAGAGAAAATAAATAATGCTACCTAATACAAAATAAAAATAAAATAATAGCAATAAGGCCAGGCGCAATGGCTCATGCCTGTGGCACTTTGGGAGGCCGAGATGGGTAGAACACAAGGTGAGGAGTTCGAAACAAGCCTGGCCAATATGCGGAAACCCATCTCTACTAAAAATACAAAAATTACCTGGGTGTAGTGGCGGGCGCCTGTAGTCCCAGCTACTCGGGAGGCTGAGGCAGGAGAATCACTTGAACCTGGGAGGCCAAGGTTGCAGTGAGCCGAGATCATGCCACTGTGCTCCAGCCTGGGCAACAGAGTGAGACTGCGTCTCAAAAAAAAAAGCAATAAACAAATACAATCATGCGTTACTTACCAAAGGGGATACATTTGGAGAAATGCATCATTAAGGAATTTCCTTGTTCAGAACATGATAGAGTGCACTTACGCAAACCTAGATGGCATAGCCTACCATTCCCCACGCTCTACAGTGTGCCCTACTGCTCCTGGACTGCAGACCTGTACAACATGCTACTCTACTTAATACTGTAGGCAGCTGTAACACAATGGTATTTGCGTATCTAAACATAGCTAAACACAGAAAAGGTACAGTCACAATACTGTATTATAATCTCATGGGACCACCATCCTATATGTGGTTTGTTGTTGACCAAAATATCGTTATGCAGAGCCTGACTGTAATGAATACAGCTACAGCACTTTGGTGACTTCAATGTGCAACAGTACTGGGAACCCACTGGCCTGTTTGAACTGAAGAGAAATGATATTAAAAGGAGAGGTCTCTTTCTTTCTCTTTTTTGCTGCACATAAAAAAGGAAACAAGCAGCCCAGTGGCCTCCGGCAGCCGTCACATCCCCATAAAGGGAGCCAGTCTCAGGATGAAGCCAATGCAGAGGAAGGCAGAGCAGAGTACTGAAAGAACTTGGGACCTTGGTGACATCACTGAGCTGCCTATCTTACTGTCCCTGGAGCCTGTCCTACCTCTGCACTTCCAGTTATGTGAGATAATACATATCCTTATTTGTAAAGCCAAATTAAGTCACGGTTTTCAGCTACTAGCAGTCAAAAGCATTCTAACTGATAACACCAAAGAAATCTGTGGTCACCTCATAGCCATAATAACCAGTCCTACCCTTAAAGACACTTTGCGTGGGTATCTTGTATTCTGCACATTCCAGAGGACCAGCTTGCCCATCAGAAGTCTGACTCCATGGAACCCAGAAGGGGCAATGGGGTGGCTCTCGGGCAGTCTGTGTCTGCGGCTCCTCTCCACTTCTAGCTTGCTCATTTCCAGCTCAGAAATTCTACTAATGGCGTTTTTTCTTCCTCATAAAGGAAATGAACAGGATAAGACTTGGCATTTTACCTTAGAGTTAAAATAAATAGTTTTCTTTTTTGAACCTAAGTGAACAATCACATAATAGTCAAATTGGAGGTTACAATTGTATTATTCACAAATGGTTTCCTTAAATTGCAAATTTGTTTTCAGACAATTTCTTTCTTAATATTTATAACAGGAAAATGTTGGTAGAACATAAATAACACTGGAAGCTAGTTGGAACAAAGTAAATGTCCAGCCAATGTTTTATTGTATAAATTTAGTATAATGGGTTATAAAATGGAATATAAGGTAAGAGTCTCCGAGTGTGAGACAGAGAGAGAGAGAGAGGGGGGTGTCAAGATGTTATTAATGATTGTTTTTGAGTAAGTGGGAATACGGACCTTCTTATGTTCTGTTGTTTGTGTTTTCTAATTTTTTTCTGATGGGCACATATTGCTTTTATTTATTTTTTTTTTTTTGAGGTGGAATTTCACCCTGTCACCCAGGCTGGAGTGCAATGGTGCAACCTCGGCTTACTGCAACCTCTGCCTCCCGGGTTCAAGCGATTCTCCTGCCTCAGCCTCCTGAGTAGCTGGAATTACAGGTGTGCGGCACCACGCCCAGCTAATTCTTTGTATCTTTAGTAGAGACGGGGTTTCACTGTGTTGGCCAGGCTGGTCTCAAATCCCTGACCTTGTGATCCACCCGCCTCATCCTCCAAAGTGCTGGGATTACAGGCGTGAGCCACCGTGCCCGGCCACATATTGCTTTTGAAGAAAGAAAGAAAAAGGACTTTTTAAGGCTATGGGATTGTTTTGCTACTTAGAAACAAATCTTTCATTCCTCCATGGGCTGGCCGTTGGCTTGTTTGAGCTAAGTACCATTCCCAAAATCCTGTGTACTGCTTGGCTGGAGGTGGCTGAAATCCTGTGAACTACGTTTCCCAGATTCCCTTGCCAGCTGGCCTACTTAGATGCTTCCAATGGGAAGCACTGGTGGGAAGCTGCATGAAATGAGAGAGAGACCAATTTTTCTTGTTGCTGTTTTGTTTTGTTTTGTTTAAGCTCTGGCCAGGGGGGCCGCAGTGACTGGCAGCTGCGGGGGCTCCAGCAGCCTTCAGTAGTTCCAGCAACCGCATCGGGGTCAGGCAGTGGCCAGCTCCAGCAGCTTCAGCAGCTTCCTGCACTGTCAGATGCCAGATGCTCCTGGGCTCTGATAACATCACCACCTCCCTCCTATTCCTCCTGCCTTTCAAGTGGCAGTGACTTCCTGCAGATACTTATCTGTAGGTTAGCACATGTTCCCCTTTTGGTTCCTCCAAACTTTCCAACACTTGTAAGACTGATTCCTTAAGTTAAATCCCCTCTATTTAAAAATGCCAGAATGAGGCCAGACATGGTGGCTCCTGCCTGTAAACCCAGCACTTCGGGAGTCCGAGGCAGGTGGATCACCTGAGGCCAGGAGTTCAAGACCAGCCTGGCCAGCATGGTGAAACCCTGTCTCTACTAAAAATTCAAAAATTAGCTGGGCGTGGTGGCACATGCCTGTAATCCAGGCCACTTGGGAGGCTGAGATAGGAGAATCTCTTGAACCCGAGGGGGCAGAGGTTGCAGTGAGCCGAGATCCTGCCATCGCACTCCAGCCCTAGGCAACAAGAGCGAAACTCCATCTCAAAACAATACTAGAATGACGTCTGTTTTCTCACCTGTACACCAACTGATATGTTCTCATATCCTCAATTTCTACATCAAATTCACCAGCGAACTTGTCAGTTCTTCTGCCAAATTGTAACTCCAGCCTCTCCTCTTCCTATTCTGTCCACAGCCATCACCAGTTCAGACCACCATCATTTCTCACTGCCGCGGCCTTCTCTCAGATATCCCCACTTCTGCAACTGAAAGGAATGGCAAAAACAGCAACTACTTTTGCACCAACCTAATAAGACATCCAGCATTGTCCATCTCAGCTCCTTGTTTATTTCCTACTTAGTCCCTACTAAAACTTGACATTTTGGTCTGTTTGTTTAAATAGGTCTGTTTTATGTCTCTCTCCCACAGGAGTATGAGGGCAGGGACCTGTTTACCACAGTATTTCCAGTGCCCAGCACAGAGCCTGACACAAATCAGCTGTTCACTATATGCTGAATGAATGCTCTGCATATTGAACTGTTTCCATATTCATGCATAGAGATAAAGGAAATTTGATTTAATTTCAATAAATTCTGTATTGTTAGATGTTTCAATTGCTATGTTTCTCTAGAGAATAAGCCACAACTTGATTAAAATCGTAAAAAGAAGGCCAGGCACGGTGGCTCACACCTGTAATACCAGCACTTTGGGAAGCTGAAGCAGGTGGATCATGAGGTCAGGAGTTCGAGACCAGCCGGGCCAACATGGTGAAACTCCGTCTCTACTAAAAATACAAAAATTAGCTGGGCGTGGTGGTGGGCACATGTATAATCCCAGCTACTTGGGAGGCCAAGGCAGGAGAATCACTTGAACCTGGGAGGTGGAGGTTGCAGCGAGCGGAGAATGTACCACTGCACTCCAGCCTGGGTGACAGAGTGAGACTCTGTCTCAAAAAAAAAAAAAGGGCAGAAGAAAAAAGTAAACATTTTTGGAAAGCAGACCAAGTGGATAAAAAATAAAGAAAGAGCTGAGAACATTTTCTAAAGATGTCATAGCAAAATTTCCCCCAAGTCTAATTTGGCCCAGATCCAAATTCTTCTGTTGACAAATTTGCTTTGACCTAAATTAATTTAACTCTGTTAGCTAAAGTTGATACAGTTCTCTAAACTGGTTTCTAAGTCACTTTTAAGGCTCTGTGAAGGACAACCAGAGATTTTCACATATAATCAGATCTCGTTCTAGAACATTTTGGCTGTTGCCTTCTTTAGTTAGGCATCTGTCCCATTCGTTCAGTCAACAAATGTTTTCTCACATTCTTTCTGTGTGCCAGGCGCTGTACTCAGTGCCAGATGCACAGAAAAAGACAAACAAGATCCCTGTGCTTCTGAAGATGACAGGCAAACAAAGACAATAAACAAGGACATACATGAATGAGCACAACAATTTCAGGTTGTGATTGAATGCTATGAGAAAGTGAAACAGCTAAATGCAATAGGTGTGGAAGGGTACCACCAAGATTGTAGTGGGAGAAACTTCCCCTGAAAAGATAACACTTGCCGTGAGGCCAGAGTTACCAGAAGGAGCCAGCAGGGCCACATTGAGACTTTAGAGGTCTTACATGCACACGGATGTTCATTGCAACACTATTCACAATAGTAAGGATATGGAATCAACCTAATTGCCCATCCATGACAGACTGGATAAAGAAAATGTGGGACATACACACCATGGCGTACTATGCAGCCATAAAAAAGAACCAGATCATGTCTTTTGTGGGAACATGGTTGGAACTGAAGGCTATTATACTTAGCAAACTAACACAGCAACACAAAACCAAATGCCACCTTTTCTCACTTATAAGTGGGAGCTGAATGATAAGAACTTATGAACACAAGAAGGAAACAAAAGACACTGAGGTCTACTTGAGGTAGGAGGGGGAGAGAAGGGAGAAGAGCAGAAAAGACACTACTTTCTGGGCTCAATACCTGGGTGAAGACATAATATGTACAACAAACCCCTGTGACATGTGTTTACCTATGTAAAAAAAAGATTCACATGTACCCACACCTAAAATAAAAGTTTAAAAAAATTATTTTTAAAGAGACACTTTAGAGGTCTTAAACATGGTGATACTATAGTGTCTTCTCTCTCTTCTACCCTAGCTAATTCAAAATAAAAATAATCAACTAAGGCTTAAAATAAATGCAAATGCCCATGTGCAGTGGCTCACACCTGTAATCCCAGCACTTTGGGAGGCTGAGGCTGGTGGATCATTTGAGGTCAGGAGTTCAAGGCCAGCCTGGCCAACATGGTGAAACTCCATCTCTACTAAAAACACAAAAATTAGCCAGGGGTAGTGGCATGTGCCTGTAATCCCAACTACTCAGGAGGCTGATGTTAGAGATGACTTGAGCCTGGGAGGCAGAGGTTGCAGTGAGCCTAGATAGCACCACTGCACTCCAGTCTGGGTGACAGAGTGAGATCCTGTTGCAAAAAAAAAAAAAAAAAAAAAAAAAAAGTGCAAACAAGATTGACAAAATTCTGCTTTCTTCCCAGTCACAGCTACTTGAATACTTTTATGGAAATATCTAAAAACTCTTTTCAAATTATTTTCTTGTTTTAGCATCCTGCTGCTTCTCCAAATATATGTCTAATCTGTTAACTGAGTTATCTAGCACTTGGAGCCATCCATGCAAAAATCTGCAGAAGAGCATTTCAGGAAGAGGGAAGAGCAAATGCAAAGACTGATGTGAGAGCCTGGTGCATACAGCCATAGGCCAAATAACATGTCCTTGGACTAGCCATGTCTTCTTTTACATGTTGTCTATGGCTACTTTCATACTTGCATGCCCCGAGAGTGCTTGATTGTCTCAAACTTTGTTTCCTTTGTGGCCTCGCTCTAGCGTAGCCCAGCACAGCAGCACAACAGTGCACTAGACACGGTGTCAGGCAAAACCTGAAATATGTGGTCCATTACAGAAAAAATTTGCTGACCCCTGGGCTTGCGTATTTATTTATTTATGAAGTGAGATTAGGAGCTGTTGGAGAATTTTCAGCTGCGGAAGATGCATTACTTCATTTTTATTGTTGAAATGGTGGCATTGACGGTGGTATAGGGAATGGATGTGGGGTAGGCACCGCAGGGGCAGAGAGAGCAGGTTGAAACTTTGGTGGTAGCTGCTGGGCTTGGATTTCGGTGGGAGCTGTCAGCATCAAATCTCCTGAAGGGATCAACTTTCCTGTAGTTACAACACGGGCTCATTTTTCTCTTCAAAGGGCTTTAAGCGTTCTTCACACAGTGTCCAGCTCTTCTCAGTAGAGGGCTTGGTCGCACAGGACTGCCTCCACTTTGCAAGCAGTTGGTTGTCACCTATGCTTCTGATCAACTGGCTATAAATCGGGGTTTCCACCATCCGCTCCTCCAGTTTGACTATTTGCTAGGATGTCTCACAGAACTCAGTGAAACACATTTTGTGAACAGACAGATGAAGAGGTGGACGGGGCAGGGTATGTGGGAGGTGGTACCGAGCTCCCAAGCGCGCTCCAGGAACACCACCCTCCCAGCACCTCTGTGCGTTCAGTGACCTGGAAGCTCATTGAGGATTGTTCAAACGTTTTTACAGAGCTTAATCTCCATCTCCCCTCCCCGTTTCCTGGGAACTGGAGGGTGGGGCTGAAATATCCTACTCTCTAATCCTCTCCATGCTTGGTCTTTCTGGTGATTGATCCCACCTGACTCACCTCATTAGCATAAAGTCTGGTATGATCAAAAGGGGTTCCTTATAAATAACAAAAGATGTTGTTATCACTCAGGAAATTCCAAGAGTTTTAGGAGCTCTATGACAGGTACTGAGGACAAGGATCAAATATATAATTTTTTTCTTTTTACTTGGTATAACTAAGCAACTTTTATTTGGTGTTCTATAAGAATTTATTCCTTTTTTTTTTTTTTTTTTTTGGGAAACAGAGTTTCATTCTTGTTGCCCAGGCTGGAGTGCAATAGAGCGATCTCGGCTCACTGCAACCTCCACCTTCTGGGTTCAGGCAATTCTCCTGCCTCAGCCTTCCAAGTAGCTGGGATTACAGGCATGCATCACCACCCCCAGCTGATTCTGTATTTTGAGTAGACGTGGTTTCTCCATGTTGGCCAGGTTGGTCTGGAGCTCCTGACCTCAGGTGATCTGCTGCCTCGGCCTCCCAAAGTGCTGGGATTATAGGCGTGAGCTGCCGCGCCTGGGCTAAGAATATATTTCTTGTTATGCCACAGATACCTTTTGAGTCTTCCCATTGATTATCCCTCTTACATTAGAGGTCTTTCACAGTGTTTCTGCCAACTTTAGGCCTTAGGAAAAGCCTCTGAAACGATGGTATCCCATTCTGGTACCAGATTTCTTGAAAAGCCCCCTGGAGCCTCTGTAAGCCCTCAGAATCACAAGGAACACACCGTGGCTGCTGGTGCACGTTCTTCAGCTTCTCCTGGTGACAAGCTGGTGAAAACTCTGGGAAGCTAAGAGTAGGGGGCTGGTGCTGAGACTACTCTTTGCCACCCAACCCCACTCCAACCCACACTGCACCCCCACTCTAAGGTCCTCATGCAAGGCACACAGCCTTCTGGGCTTGGCGGATGCACCTACCCATGTGGGCTTCCCTGCTGGGGCGCTGAGTCCTCATATCGGGCAGGCCTGTGCCCCGTTAGGGTGATCCCCAGCAAGGCAGCCTATTTTCTCTAACTTGAGTTGGCCGCCTTCCTGGTAGCTGGTACTTCATTCTGACTCTACTTTTTTCTGCCAGTACAGTTGGCTCTCCACACCTGCGGGTTCCACATCCTCAGATGAGACCAATCCCAGATCAAAAATGTAGTTACACCTGCAATGTTTATAACATGTCCTGAACATATGCCGGCTTTTTTCTTGTCGTCATTCCCAAAACAATACAACAACTATACACGTAGCATTTACTTTGTATTAGGTGCCGTAAGTAATCTAGAGGTGACTTAAAGAGTACAGGAGGGTGTACTTAGGTTATGTGACCCAAAAGTATCTGAGATAGGTCTCAATCGATTTAGAAAATTTATTTTGCCAAGGCTAAAGACACGCCCGTGACAGCCGCAGAAGATCCTGAGGACATGTGCTCAAGCTTGGCTGTACACACTTTAGGGAGACATGAGCCATCAGTCAGTATGTGTAAGCTGTACATTGGTCCAGTCCAAAAAGATGGGACATCTCAAAGTGAGGGCTTCCAGGTCACAGGTAGATAAGGGACAAAAGGCTGCACTCTTTTCAGTCTTTGATCAGCCTGTCACTGAATACGCAATTTACATGTGAGAGGCAGTGGCGGAATAGTCACTTATGCCTTAGTATGGCTCAGTGAATCTGCATTTTTACATAAACAATAGGGAGGAGGAAGCACTCAGAATGCAGATATCAGGTGAGCAGAGAAATGACTTTTTAGTTCTGTCCTTTGTCTGTACCTGTGAAGATAAGTTATCAATTTACGTTGCCAGGGTAAAATTCAACAGACCCATTTTAGGGAAAAAGAACTTGATGCCCACAAGGAATTTCCTTGTGAAGAAATTGTGAGGGAGGTGTGTAGCTTTTTTTAATCTTTGCAGTTATCTTAGGAATAAAATGAGAGGCAGGTTTGCCTGACTTGACTCTTCATTTGGCTGATTTTGGAGTCCTGAGATTTACTTTCCTTTCACAATTATATGCAAATCCTATATCATTTTATATCAGGGTGTATTAATCCATTCTCACGCTGTGGGGTTGATAGCTCATACCTATAATCCCAGCACTTTGGAAGGCTGAGGACAGCAGGTCACCTGAGGTCAGGAGTTCAAGGCCAGCCTGGCCAACATAGTGAAACTTCGTCTGTACTAAAAATACAAAAATTAGCTGGGCGTGGCGGCACGTGCCTGTAGTCCCAGCTACTTGGGAGGCTGAGACAGGAGAATCACTTGAACCCAGGGGGGCAGAGGTTGCAGTTAGCTGAGATCATGCCACTGCACTCCAGCCTGGGCAACAGAGTGAGACTCCATCTCAAAAATGAAAAAGAAAAGATTTTAATTGACTCGTAGTTCCACATGGCTGGGGAGGGTTCAGGAAACTTACAATCATGGCAGAAGGCACCCCTTCACAGGGCAGCAGGAGACAAAATGAATGCCAGCAAGGGAAATGCCAGACCTTTATAAAACCATCAGATCTCGTGAGAACTCACGATCACAAGAACAGCAGGGGGGAAACAGCTGCCATGATTCTTCCTCTCACTGGGTCCCTCCTATAATATGTAAAGATTATGGGGATTATAATTCAAGGTGAAATCTGGGTGGGGACACACAGCCAAACCATATGACAGGGACTTGATTGGTATCTGAGGAGTCCTGGAACCAATGCCCCACAGATACAGAGGGAAGACGATTAGGAAGAAAAGTGGAGGGGACTGCAGGGGGTGACGGAGGTTGAAATGTCTGACAAAATTTCTTAGTTGATCAGGAGTGGCTTTCTGCCATATTTCTTTTGTTTATGCTTAATAGAACTATATTATAGGACATAATTTTAGATGTCAGCAGTATAAGTAGTGAAGATAGTGATGAAGAGAATGAAGAACTGAATGAATTGCAGGCATTACAGGAAAAAAGAATAAATGAAGAAGAGGAAAAGAAAAAAGAAAAAAATCAAGTTAAAAAAAAAAAAGAAAAAGGTCTTACTCATCCAGTTCAGCAGAAGGACACTTCAAAACAAAAGAAACAAAAATATCAGAAGTAAGAAACGAAAAAAGAGTAAATCAAAAAAAAGGGAAACACTACAAAAAGGAAAAAAAGAAGAGAAAAAAGGAAAAGCATTCTTCTACCCCAATAGTTCTGAATTTTCCAGAAAGTAACTGAGACTTTGGCTTAAGCCATTAAATTTAAAAATTGTTTGTTAAAATGTGTTTGCCCTTCCTTGGAATTTGCTATCTATTATACATTGCAATAAATCACAGCCTTTTCCATATTTAAAAAAAGGGAGAGAGAGAAGAAAGGAAGAAAGGAGGGAGGAAGGGAGGGAAGAAGGGAGGGAGAGAGAGAAGGGAGGAAGAAGGAAGAAAGATCTAAAACAAGCCTAAAGCTGTCTCCTTACTATTTAAGTTTGGCCAAAAGGTTTTTCTGTATGTCATAACTATAACAAGAAGAGATGTAAACAGACTGTAGCCTACACTTGTGCCAATCACCAAGTGTTGGCTAATCAAATGTAGCAAACTGTTTCAACTGTGTTCAAAGAAGGCAAACACTGAGCTGTAACCAATTCAGCTGTTTCTGCACCTCACTTCCATTTTCTGTATGTCACCTTCCTTTTTTTTGTCCACAAATCTTCCACCATGTGGTTGTGCTGAAGTCTGTGAGCCTATTCTGGCTCAGAAGGCTTCCTGATTTGCAAATTGTCCATTGCTCAGTTAAATTCCTTTACATTTAATTTGGTTGAAGTTTTTTGTTTTTTGTTTTTTTTGTTATGGAGTCTTGCTCTGTTGTCCAGGCTGGAGTGCAGTGGCATGAGCTCGGCTCACTGCAACCTCCACTTCCTAGGTTCAAACGATTCTCCTGCCTCAGCCTCCTGAGTAGCGGGGATTACAGGCATATGTCACCACATCCAGGTAATTTGTGTATTTTTAATAGAGACGGGGTTTCATCATGTTGGCCAGGCTGGTCTCAAACTGCTGACCTCAGGTGATCCACCTGCCTCGGCCTCCCAAAGTGCTGAGATCACAGGTATGAGCCACTGCACCGGGCTGAATTTGAAGTTTTTCCTTCATCAGAAGGAAGGAAGGAAAGAAAATTAGAAAAGCAAATAGAATCATGTCTTACTAAACACAGTGGTACTACTCTTAAGCCTCTCCATTTTTTAAATGTTCAATGCCTCCTTTGCTTGTTAAAAAGAAACGTACATAACTTCACTTCTTGATTTATGTGATTGTGATGCTTCCTGCTAACCTGGCTTACTCCCCGTTTGGCCTCCTCAAAATTTCTCCAAACCTTTCCAGCAGCAGCATCAGTTTTGTCTGACAACTGGCAAAAAGGAAACACATAAAAAGTGAATACTCAGGCAATTTTCTAACGATAAGAACTGTTTAGAGGCCGCCTGCCTCCAAGAAGACTGAGGAGATAAGAGAATGATCTGGGAATGTCTTCAATATATTGCTGTCTTCTTGATAAACATGAGATGAATAAGAGTCACTGCATTTCAAAGTAAAGGTCAGAAAAGCCAGGGAGAGGAGGATCCACTAGTCTGAAATCCTTAGAGGCACTTCAAGGGCTTGAAGAACTAGGCTGATAAAGGCAGGGAGTTGTGATTAAATGGATGACGGAGGCTTGAACTTTACCTGCAACGTTTAGTCTTCATCTGAAAGTGAGAGTGGTTTTGGAGCCTTAAGGAGAAGCAGGTGGAGGGCTACACATGATTGGAGACTCATGCACTGAACAGGGAAGCAGTGGATTTCAAAGTGGTGGAGCATATCGTAATCACCTATGGTACGTTTGTCAAACTCTCAGTTTTGTTTCATCTCTGCTCTCTATTGATGAAAAAGAACACCCCACTGCCCATGTTCTCTTTTTTAGTTTTAAACAGTTTTGTTTTCCTCAGAAAACTAAAAACAGAACTATCATATCCCTCTCCTACCACTGTGCAATGGAGCCTCTGTTACTCACAGGAGAGTATCTGTCTCCCAGGTGGGTTAAGGTTAGGAGTGTATCCAAGCTTTGTGGGTCCTGAAACCGATACAATTTTTGGGAACTTCTTTAAGAAAATAAATACAATCTCTATAAAAAAATTATAAAACATTGATGTGAGAAATTAAAGAGGACACACAGAAATGAAGATATTTCAGGTTAATGGATCAGAAGAATCAATATTATTAAAATGTTCATACTACCCAAAGCAATCTAGGCATTACAATCCCTATCCAAATACAAATGACATTCTTCACAGAAATAGAAAAAATAATCCTGAACTTGATATGGAACCACAAACGATCCAGAATAACCAAAGCTATCTTGAACAAAAAGAACAAAACTGGAGGAATCACATGGTCTGACTTCAAATTATACTACAGAACTATAGTAACCAAAATAGCATGGTACTGGCATCAAAACAGACACATAGACCAATGGAACAGAATAGAGAACACAGAAACAAATTTACACATCTACAGTGAATTCATTTCGACAACGTTCCAAGAACACACATCAGGGAAAGGACAGTTTCTTCAATCAGTGGTGCTGAGAAAACTGGGTATCTGTATGCTGAAGAATGAAGCTAGCCCCCTATCTCTCGCCATATGCAAAATCAAATCAAAATGGATTAAATAATTAAATCTAAGACCTTAAGCTATGAAACTATTCAAAGAAACATTGGGGAAACTCTCTGAGACATTGGACTGAATCAAGATTTCTTGAGTAATAACCCACAAGCACAGACAAACAAAGCAAAACTGGACAGATGGGATTATATCAAGTTAAAAAACTTCTGCACAGCAAAGAAAACAATCAACAAAGCGAAGAGACAACCCACAGAATGGGAGAAAGTATTTGCAAACTATCCATCTGACAAGGGATTAATAACCAGAATATATAAGGAACTCAAACAACTCTATAGGGAAAAATCAAATAATCAAATTTAAAAATGGGAAAAACATCAGAATAGACATTTCTCAAAAGAAGATATACAAATGCCAAACAGGTGTATGAAAAGGTGCTCAACATCACTGATCATCGGAGAAATGCAAATCAAAACTGCAATGAGATATCATCTCACCCCAGTCAGAATGACTTTCATGCCAAAAGTACACAATGATGAATGCTGGTGAAGATGTGGAGAAAAAGGAAAGCTTGGACACGGTTGGTGAGAATGTAACCACTATGGAGAACAGTCTGGAGCAGTTTAGTTTTTTTAGTTTTAGTTAAACATTTAGTTTTCCTCAGAAAACCAAAAATAGAACTACCATATGATTCAGCAATCCCATTGCTAGGGATATACTCAAAAGAAAGGAAATCAGCATATTGAAGGGTATCTATACCCCCAATTTTATTGAAGCACTATTCACAACAGCCAGATTTGGAGGCAACCTAAGCGTCGGCCAACAGATGAATAGATAAAGCAAATGTGGTTTGTAGGCACAATGGAGTACTATTCAACCATAAAGAACGAGAGCCTGTCATTTGCAACAACATGTATGGAACTGGAAGTCCTTATGTTAAGTGCAATAAGCCAGGCACAGAAAGACAAACTTTGCATGGTCTCACCTATTCATGGGAGCTAACAAAAAAATTACAACAATTGAACTCATGGAGATAGAGAGTAGAGTGGGATGGGGAGACTCAGAATGGTTAGTGAGTACAAAAATATAGTTAAATAGAAAGAATAAGAGCTAGTATTTAATAGCCCAACAGGGTGACTGCAGTCAACAATAACTTACTGTATATTTAAAAATAAGTAAAAGACCATAATTGTTTGTAACATAAAGAAAGTATAAATGCTTGGGGTGATGGATACCCCATATACCCTGATGTTATTATTATACATTGTATGACTATATCAAAATATCTTATGTACCTTGTAAATATATATACCTACATACCTAACGACTTCCAGTTCCATCCATGTTGTTGCAAATGACAGGATCTCATTCTTCTTTATGGCTGAATAGTACTCCATTGTGTACTATTTACGCACAAAAGTTAAAAATAAAAAACCTTAAAAATTAAAATTTAAAAAGAAGATAAATACAAAATAGAGAATATAAATGCCTATAATCAACATAAAACTCATTCAGAGCACTCCAGGGCCACATGCAGATTGGCATCACTCATTTTAGTAATGGCGTGATGTTTCCTTGTGTAAATGCACTGTAATTTACTTGCCTACCCACATTGAGAGATCTGTATATTGTTTCCAATCTCTTGCTATTACTGTATATCCAAGGCTGCCATGAGTACCTTTGTACAGGTATCAATTCCCATACTCAGGAACATATCTGAAAGACAAATTTTTAGGAGAGAAATCACTGGGTTAAAGGGTTTGTGCATTTCTAATTTTAGTAAATGTTACTAAATCACTCTCTATAGACATTGTTCTAGTTTATAGTCCCACGAGCAGAATATGAGGGAATCTGTTTCCCATACCCTGGCTGATACAATGTTAATATCAATCTTGTTTTATCTTTGTCAGTTTGACAAGTAAAAAAAAAAAAAATCTCTCCTTTTTTTCGCCATCAGTGAGTTTGAGCACTTTTTCCCATGTCTGAGCAGCATATGTAGGCTTCTGATTATTGTTGTTTTGATGATCTATTCATATTCTTTGACAGTTTTTTTTTTTTTTTTTCTATTGGGTTATTGGGTTTTTTCTTACCGATTTGTAGAAATCCTTTATATTTTAGGGAATTTAGTCCTTTGCCTATTATGTGAGTTTCAGATATTTTCCTCAGTCTTTCTTTGGTCTTTTGAATTGGCTTATAAAAGGGCCTTTGCCATAAATATATTTTTTAATGTCATTAAATTTAGCATTCCAGGAGTGGGCTATTTTAGCTTTGGTGGTCAGCAAAGGCTCCTCTGAAGAGATACATTTCATGCCACAAGCAGGAGACAAGTGCTCTAGTCGGGAGGTCCTAGGGCAAGAATGTGCTCGGTGTGTTAGCGGAACTGAAAGAAGCCCTGGAGAGCACAATACACAGTGACACACCAGGAAGGAGCGGGTCGCACCAGGCCCAAGTAGGGAGCTTTGAAAGCCAGGGACAGACATGGGCTAGCTTTTGGGCCCCAGAGAGAAACCAAAATAAGTGAGAAAAGAATGATGTGAAGTCAATCTTAGGTTCTACATAACTATTAAATGAACATTCCAATAATTACCAGAGTCCAGTGTGGAATGAGCTCCAGGGTTATCTGTCAGCTTATTTCCTGTCACTGAAACTTCTCACAGCTGGGTGGCAACATGGTAGAGGAACTCAAACATTAGATGGGGGTTTGACTGGTTGACATTTATCTCCAGTCTAAGCTTACCAAGATTCTGAGATTCTCTGTGGTGTATATGCCCCTGCATTTGTCTTTCCTTGTGGTTTCCCTCATTTCTTAAATATGCTTCCTTTCCATTATCCTCCCACACGTGGTAGTATTGCCAATGGTTCATTCTTAGCTCCACGGATACCACTAAAGGCCAAGTTTATATACAGTTTACATGGAAATATCTATTTTCAGTGACACCTGTTTCTATGTACGGCTTTCACAGCTTACACATACCTGACACTGGAACCTTCTTTGACCAGGAGTTTCTGAGGACAGGAACCACATCTTTTCCCTCCTGTGTTGTATCTGGGTACAGAGATATGGATCCACTAGGCACTCAATAATCAGGTGATGCTAATATGCATTCACAGGCTATTTTTGCAAAATTGCTAATTATAGACAATATGGTTTCCTCTTAACAGCTGAGAGCTAGGAACAGTGAGGGTAAAAGACTGCCCTGAGGAATCAGGATAGGAAGCTGATCTGGAAGCCTTCCCTACAGATTAAAGCCACAATAATAGATGGAATCAGTAAAGCAGGATTCAGTAGAGAGGGTGCAGGGAGACATGAAAATAAAGAAAACATCCATGAGATCTCTAGCATAGAAACACCTTAAAAACTGAGAGATGCCCAATAGGAAAACAAGTCCTAAAATGCTTTTTTAAAATCCACCCTGGATTTTGTGGGAGCTGGGAGTTGTCCTGCTTCAAGCACATTGCAGTACAATTAGATATACAAGCATAAAGAATCCTGTTTTATGATTTGCTCACTGTTTATGTTTTACAACTTTTTGCATACACAAGCAAAGGAAAACATTGGCAAATGGGGAGGAGGGATAAGCAGCCCAAAATATCAACGAACAGGAGTTGATTTTCTGCTTTTTAAAAAAATCCAAAAATCCATTCCACATGACAGCTAAGTCATTTTGCTCCTTGCTTACCATATATTCTCCTTATCAATGGGTACATAAAGAACAACTACAAAATTGTTCTTATAGAACAAGGTCAAACAAAAAGAAAAAAATACAGAACATAGTGAATATTCCCTATGTAAATCCTGAATTTAGACTACCAAAACCCAGTAGAGACCTGACTTATGCTAGGCCCTTGAAGAAGTTTCTACTTTTTTTTTTTGAGACCAGGTCTTGCTCTATTGCCAACTTGGAGTGCAGTGGTGCGATCTTGGCTCACCGCAACCCTCCACCTCCCGGGTTCAAGCGATTCTCCCGCCTCAGCCTCCTGAGTAGCTGGGACTACAGGCTTGCGCCACTATACCTAGCTAACTTTTGTATTTTTAGTAGAGATGGGGTTTCGCCATATTGGCCAGGATAGTCTCCATCTCTTGACCTCATGATTTGCCTGCCTCGTCCTCCCAAAATGCTGGGATTACAGGCGCGAGCCACCGAGCCTGCCCAGAAGTTTGTACTTTCTAAGGCTTTGTATTTCAGCCTTTTTTCTTTCACTGTTACCTAGCAGGACCCCAGTTCTGACTCTTGGTGAGTGTGTGAGGCTTGGAGCAAGTCACTTCTCCTCTCTGGGTCTTGGGATCCTCTCCTTTTGAGGGACACAGGATTTGACAGCTTCTCCCAGACACTGTCTCCTATGGTTCTACGAAAACTTTACTTTCCACTGCCTTTTTTCCATTCATTTTATGGCCTAAGAAAAAGCTGCTGAATTTTTAAGCAATGCTAGGATTCTGTAGAAGGAGTTCATCTGATCTGCTGGTGCTTAAAGTAATATACATACATTCTGTCCATAAAACATCCCACCAGCACCCAAGCAGGGTCTTTCTGCACCTCCTCCTAGAAGTAGGCACAACTGCTGTCTCTGCGATAAGATCACACAACTCGAGGAGCATAAAAGTCATTTACGTTGTGAAGCAAAAGGCCATGGCTTGATTTTATTTACAGTCTAATCTAGCCTGATCATAAACGAATCATTTGGAACAACTAGATTTTGAGTTGCTCTAAATTTTTTTTTGAGCAATTAATAGTTCACAATTATTTTTGTTGACACTAATGGCAATAATAAACAGTAAACCATTCACAGAACCTACATTCGTATAACTTCTGTGGTGTGTGTCCATTTGATGAACCTTGATAGTTAGGAAATGTGTAATCCCATAAGAGCAGGTTTCCTCAAGACAAACCGCTCATGAAAAAAGTTAGAAGTTCGTCTTTAATTCCTGTTTTAGAAGTGTTATAAACTTGCAAATTTATTTTCCAGTTGATTCAATCTGCCATCTCTAAATCTTTAGGGAGAATTACAGAAATGGAGATAAAATCTTGGTAATTTATTCAATTTTATCACTTCTACTGATCCCATAAAAAGACTCCATCTGTCAAATTATCTTTTCTTAAAACAAAAAAAAAAACCTTTTCATAATTTTCTTCATATGGGTATGTTGAAACGAGTACTTTAAGTATCTGTGTCATGAAAACTATTGACGTTCCAATAAAATCTGTTCTTTCTAAATGATCTGTTCTTTAGCCTCTTGTGAGAGGAAAACTCCAGCTTCTATCATTTGTTTATAATTTGCTTGTGCAGCATGGGATTTATTGCTTTGGGTGAATATATTATGGCATATTCGAGTAGTGTAGAATATTCTTATGTTAACATATTCTGTGATTTGGATTTCAATCCCTAATCAGTACATCTTTCTTTTTAAAATTTCTGCCTTGGTTTTCTTGAAAGTCAAATGATAAGACTAAAAAGAAGAGAAACCTACTTGAATCATATCTTTGATCATATATTTTGTTTTCTTATTTATTAATTGTTGTCGTTTTAAGACAGGGCCAGGCTGGAATGCAGTGGCTTGATCTCCGTTCACTACATTCTCCACCTCCCAGGCTCAAGCGATCCTTCCACCTCAGCCACTCAAGTAGCTGGGATTACAGGCACACACTACCGCGCTTGGAGAATTTTTTAATTTTTTGTAGAGACAGGGTCTCACTGTCTTGCCCAGGCTGGTCTCAAACTCCTGGACTCGAGCAATCCTCCTGCCTTGGCCTTTCAAAATGCTAGAATTACAGGTGTAAGCCACCACGCCCAGCCTGATCATACATTTTAAACCTTGTTTCTGTAATCACAGTCTGTGTTAATGTCAAGCCACCGTGCTCGCTTCGGCAGCGCATATACTAAAATTGGAATGATACAGAGAAGATTAGCATGACCCCTGCGCAAGGATGACATGCAAATTCGTGAAGCATTTCATATTAAAAAAAAAAAAAATCAAGCCACCCGATCATCTAAGCGCCATTGGAGAAACACTCCGACCCGCCATGAGGTTTTCTGATTTCTACTCTTAAGTAGGCCTTCATGATACTAATCTTTGATTAGTTCTTTCATTCTCTCAATGACTATGCCAGAGCTACTGTTTTCTCTTCAGGTTCCCATCTACAATTGTAAGACAAAATAGGGGACACCCAGTTAAACGTGAATTTCAGATAAGCAATAAATAAGTTTTAGTGTAAGTATGTCCTTTGCAATATTGACCAAGTCCTGTATTTGCTAAATCTGGCAACTCTACCTCTAACCTCTCTTTCTCTCTTAACTAACTTTATCTCATAGTAAAATTTGAAGTCATTAGCAGGAACTTCCTCATCTTCCTGCCATCTCCTCTACAAATGTACCTACCTAAGGCATATCCTCATCTGTCTCTCTCCTACTCTAGTCACTGGCCGGTTCAGGACCACCCACTCCCTGCCCATCTCCTGCATTCAATGTCCTGACACAAAAGTGCAGAGCCACAGGCTGTGTTGCAGTATGAATACACCCTACAAAGCCTGGCACTGAATACATGTATTTAATGGAAGAGAAAGAGACATGAAATGTATGGAGCCAAAAGCTAGTTTATGGAAAACTCTTCCAAATTTTACAACTCATATAAGAAAGAAACCTGATCGCTTTCCTGGGTCTGACAACAAGTGCTTTCCCAGATTTGACAACAATCTTAAACATATTTCAGGGGATTACCAATTATTGTGATGCTGAAAGAAACTTCTTAATTATCCGTTTTTAAATTTAAATAACTATATGAGAGAAAAGACTAAATTACTCCTCTGTTTATTCTATGAAAAACAATATTGTCATATGAAGAAGTGATTAACAACTATGAAGTCAAAAATTTAGGGGAAAAGCATTTTAGAGATGTTTAAAGCAGTTTTTTACAAATTATGTGATTTTCTAGATTTTGTGATGTTTGTGGTATTTGTTAGCTTTAAAAAATTCGTTAATTATTATCAATTATTTTCTTATTCTGAATACTTTGTGCCTAATTTTGTTGTTTTTTTTTTTTTTGAGATGGAGTTTTGCTCTTGTTGCTCAGGCTGGAGTGCAATGGTGTGATCTCGACTCACTGCAACCTCCACGTCCCGGGTTCAAGCAATTCTCCTGAAGAGCTGGGATTACAGGCACCCACCACCATGCCCGGCTAATTTTTTTTTGTGTGTGTGTACTTTTAGTAGAGATGGGGGCGTTTCACTATGTTGGCCAGGCTGGTCTTGAACTCCTGACCTCAGATGATCCACCCACCTCGGCCTCCCAAAGTGCTGAGATTATAGGCATGAGCTACTGCACCAGGCCTGTATTCTTTTTCTTAAACTGAGTCCCTACCATTATGCAACTCAAGGTCCCATCCAAACCCTGGTTTATCTCCATCTGGAAGGGATTTCTCTTTTTTTTTCTTTTTTTCTTCTCGAGATGGAGTCTCGCTGTCACCAGGTGTGATCTTGGTTCACTGCAACCTTTGCCTCCCAGGTTCAAGTGATTCTTCTGCCTCAGCATCCTGAGTAACTGGGATTACAGGCACCTGCCACTCGAACTCCTGACCTTGTAATCTGCCTGCCTCGGCCTCCCAAAGTACTGGGATTACAGGCGTGAGCCACCGTGCCTGGCCGGAATTTCAAAATAGTAAGTACAAACAAAGTCATCAGTCAAGGTAGAAAATGGATCGAGTCCACACCACGTGGGAAGGGGAGTGGACAAAAGATGCAGAAAATCTCCTGGAAGAAACAAGAAGCAAACCTGATAAATTCCAGAGATCAAAAGCAAATGGCTTTGGCAAGTCTTCACACACTTTTGGAATTCTCTTGACTAACAAGTCTGGTTCATTTTAGGATAAATGGTTCCTCCACCCCTGCTCCATCTTTATATCGTATTCTTTAGGATTCTGTCCATGTCCTTCCCTCCTACTTGGCACAATTGAAAATTAACTTAAGCAATTGACTACATGATCTCATCTACTTCCACATTAATAATCAATCCCTAAAATCTAATGACAAGATATACATGCTAGTGTACTTACTGCAGTGTTACCTAAAAAGTAGAAACAACGTAAATGTCCAACCATCGAATGATTTTAAGTAACTTACAAGATTATATGAAGCTATTAAAAATGATGATGTATGTTCTCACTTATAAGTGGGAGATAATCTTTGGTACACACAGACATAAAAATGGGAACAACAGACACTAGGGACTCCAATGGGGCAAGGGCTGGAAAACTTCCCACTGGGGACTGTGTTCACTGTTGGTGACAGGAATCAAATAGAAGCCCAAACCTCAACATCACTAAATACACCCTTGAAACAAACCTGCATATGTGGAAAGCAGCACGTCTCAATCCTATTTTCGTAAAATAAGTAAAATAAATACTATATGAATCTGAAATTTCAAATGATATATGCCAAGTGTAAATACTGGTACTTTTTTTGGGTGAACTATTTGAATTTCTATTATTATCTTGTATAATATAGAAGATTTTTATTTATTTATTTTTTAAAATTTATTATTTTTTTTTTTTTGAGAGGGAGTCTTGCTCTGTCACCAGGCTGGAGTGCAGTGGCAAGATCTCGGCTCACTGCAGCCTCTACCTCCTGTGTTCAAGCGATTCTCCTTCCTGAGCCTCCCGAGTAGCTGAGATTACAGGAACCCCCCCAACACCTAGCTAATTTTTGTGTTTTTAGTAGAGACAGGGTTTCACCATCTTGGCCAGGCTGGTGTTGAACTCCTGACCTCATGATCCACCCTCCTTAGCCTCACAAAGTGCTGGGATTACAGGTGTGAGCCATCATTATTGTTATTTTTATTTTTTTGAGACAGAGTTTCACTCTTGTTGCCCAGGCTGAAGTGCAATGGTGCAATCTTGGCTCACTGCAACTGCTGCTTCC